ATGTGGGGAGTCCTTGGGGAGGAGCACATAAGAAGCACACCTCCTTTTGGAAGTCTATGGAAGTAAGCCAGTAAGTAAAAAGTTTCCTTATTTCGTTAACCATCTGCGGTTTGATCAGTGCGGGGATGTTGTGTTGTTTGTCAGTGTTAGTGTTATTTAGTGTTTTGTCGTCAATGGTTGGTGTTTCCTGATCATTATGGATCTCTCGTCTATCTATCTCACGCTCTAACGTCACCTCATCGACTCAACCACCGCTGGACAAGAAGACACTTCACCCGCCTCCTTCAACTTTCTTCACGGCTTATCGGTGACTCTGTGGCTATGATCTCTTTTCAATGGCTTATTTCTGCAAGCAGAACTTAGAACTAAATTCACTAAAACAATTAAATCTCTCGTGCGGGGTTGAAGGGGAACGGAAGTTCTCGAGCACCCCAGTTGGGAAGGGCAGACAAACACAAAATTCATTTTCCCTTCTTTCAAACTAAATCACTGTCACGTTTAGTTTTGTTTTTTTAACCAAGTCAAGCTCACCCTTTATGAAACGCAAATCAAGTTCACCAATTCAATTAAATTTCTAGTTATAACCTTCAACAACAGACTCACATGGAATACTTACTTTAGGGAAGTCATTAAGAAAACACATCAGAGAATAAACTATCTAAAACATTTGTCAATCTCTGCAATGCCCAAACTCTTATTAATCTACAAAATGTACATTAGACCAGTATCAGAATATGGTAATGTCATTACATGTAACATATCCAACAACTTACACAAATCACTGGAAGCAGCACAGCTAAAAGCTGTCAGAATGGCATATCGTCTCCCCGTTTATACACCAAGAACATATCTCCTCGACACTAGTAAAATGAAAGAAAGATTTACCGAACTAACCACCGCATATTACAAAAAAAAATAAAATTTGGTAACTTCCTACTAAGCAAAATCACGAAACTACCTGAAACACACAATCATGGAATAAACACATATCCCCCTTTGATACAATAAAAACACAAATCAACCACTGTGAGCATTTTACCTTTTCCGAAACCCCCATTTCAGGTTTCCGACCAGACAAGGACTTCATGTTATATTCTTCTACCTATTGTGCTGTAACTGTAATCAATTTAATTTCAGTTGTTGTGATTCTCTTACTATCTGTATATTGTTCTTGTTTAATTGTCACAATTTGTATTTATAATATTTATCTGTTTATTATCAACTCTCTTAACTCTGTATAGTTTTGTATACTGTTAATTGTCCTAAATAAAATATTATGTCTTGGCCCCTTTTGGGGCGGAGTGAGAAGCTCTTCCGGTATCAAATTTCTGACCACACCTGGTTTTAAACCAAAATACTTACCACAACGAGAACGATTTGCTCTACAAATGGTCAAGAAAAACTATACCTAAGTGTTGTTAAAGTAAAATAAAGGTGACAAATGGAGATTGACTGAAAAAGAAATGTTAAGCAGATTATCATCTCAAGACAGGCATGGCAAATTATCATAAATAAATAGTAAGTATTAGAAAGATCAGTGGAAAACATTGAGAGTTCACACAAAATGAAAAAACAAAGAAATAAAAAAAATAGTTATTCTGACAGAGAACAAACCAATGATCAGAGATCACTGATTCCAAGATCTAGATTTATTCCACATGGTTGAACAGTATTTAGATTAGCAATCCAATAAGCTTCTTTTATCTCTCTATCAGCTTTAGTTTGAAAGTCAGTTTCAATGCCGATGGGAGCAACATCGTTAATAGAATGACCGGGTTGATTAAAGTGTTGAGCAACATGGATATCTTTTTCGGTGTTATCATAAAACTTATGGTTGTTGAAACGTTCTCTAAGACTTGTTTGGGTATATCCTACATACTGAATTTTTTACACTGTATAAGGTAAATGGTACTCAGTGTTCCACAACTGATTTCTTTATAAATTTTAAAGTTTCTCTGGTTGTGCTTTTCAGAAAAAAAAAGTCAATAGTTTTTTTATGAACTTGCAGGTTTCACAACAAACTTTATTACATGGATGACAAACATTCTTTTGTGGGGTGTAATTCGCTTTTGCATAAATGAACAACAGTACCTTTTAGATTTCTGCTTTTCCGCTAGGAGACAACAGGAACTCCAGAAAATATATGGTTAAGACGATCATTCAGTTGTTTGTTTGTTTGAATTTCGCGCAAAGCTACACGAGGGCTATCTGCGCTAGCCGTCCCTAACTTAGCAGTCTTTGACTAGAGGGATGGCAGCTAGTCATCACCACCCACCGCCAACTCTTGGGCTACTATTTTACCAACGAATAGTGGGATTGACCGTCACATTATAACGCTCCACGGCTGAAAGGGGCGAGCATGTTTGGTGTGACGGGGATTCGAACCCGCGACACTCAGATTGCGAGTCGAGCGCTCTAACCACCTGGCCATGCCGGGCCTCCATTCAGTTGTAAGAGGTGAAAGTTTTTTTCAGAATGCAAGAAACGTTTCTGAGTTTAAAGTGATAGGTAATAATAATTATATTTGAAACTTTAGTGTTACTCTTTATTAGGATGTTTTCCCGCTGAGTATTGTTAGCTTTTTCGATCTGTCTATCAATTTCAGTATCTTTATATCCTCTTTGTAACATGCTTTGTTTTAGATTCTTGGTGTTTCTTCTGAACAGATTTTCTTAATTCTAAGAGCTTGACTGTAGGTAATGTTCCGTTTAGTACTGTTACGTCTCTGTATGTTTGTTTGTTAATTCTTCTAAGATACAAGTCCTTTCTTTATAAAACTTGTTTATTCTTCCTCAATACAACTTTGTAATGTACTTAATTTTCACAGTTACACGCACTATAGTTCACAACAATTCACTCACTTTCTATCGCGCTTAGACTTAATCGTCCCCGCAAACTATAGTTCCGATCTCTGTGTCTGCTTTCCTCAGTTCCCGCCGACCGTAATCGCTTTCTTTCTCTCTGCCTGCTTCGTCTCCGCT